ATTACTCAACACAAAGGGCACACGATAGCACGCCAAAAAACCAAGTAACATTTCAAAACGTGTTGGATATCAGTCCTTTTTAGGAAATTTTCATATAGTACGTCAGGCTGCTGCTGCTGGTGGTGTAATGATGTGGGGGATATTTTCATGGCACAATTTGGGCCCATTATTAAAAACTGAGCATCGTTTAACTGCCACAGCCTACCTGAACATTGCTGTTGACCACATCTACCGGACAAATCTGGAACAACTGTGTGATGCCGTCATATCAATATGGACCAAGATCTCTAAGGAATGTTTCCGACACCTTAAAAAATAATTGCAGTGAAAGATGAAGGCAATTCATCTTTCACTGGATATAGGGGTCCAATCTGGTACTAGTTAGATGTATGTAATAAAGCGTCCGGTGAGTGTATGTAATTAATAAGTGCATAAAATTTTGGTTTATGCTTTTACTGCAGATTGTTTAATCAAACCCATATGCAATGAAATGGATTTGATAAAGAGTCTAACGCTGGCAATCCCCCGATTGAGTCACACATGAATCATCAAATTTCCTTGATATTTAACCTCTTAAGCCCCAACGCCCCCTGATACGGGGGCAAAAGGCAGGAGATTAGTTAGGCTTGGGGCTTAAGAAGTTAATAAGGGCAAAATCTTTTACTATTTTGCATAACTTTACAGAATAATATGCAGATGTGGAGAAACCTTTCAGATAAAATCACTTTCCTCAGTTTCGAAGCAACATCTGAGAAAGCAGGTTCCTCTGAGAAAGTAAAACACTTCAGGGATCATCTGTCATGGACGAAGAGACAGAGACTTCTGCTTCCTGCTTAGTTTCTCCTTTACATTCCTGCATTGCTCAGATTAATCTGTCTGTTTGTTTTGGAGACATAACAGCAGCAGCCTGTGCTTCAGCCCCGCTGTCTGCAGGAGCGACGTTTATCATCAGTCAAGTTACTCATCATGTTGTTTGCTCTGGGACTCAGTTATGAGGCCTGTGTAACAGAGACAGGCATTCACATCTTATTTATTTATTTCCTTGGTGCCCGTCTAATGTCGTTATCTGTGAGTATGTCTTTTGTTTGGACGTGTGCAGTAAATCGCCTTCAGGTCAGAGACACAGCTTTTCATATTGGTATGATGTTATTTTTCTGCATATTTGGGGAACCCTGCAGCATTAAATCATCCAGAACATTTGCAACATGCAGTGTAACACCGTGATATAAAGTATACCTCTAGAATGCATTTGATAGCGTTTTGTTCCAGCAGTTGGATAACAAAA